GAGAGAGAGAGAGAGAGAGAGAGAGAGAGAGAGAGAGAGAGAGAGAGAGAGAGAGAGACAGTGGCAGGGATCACAAGGGCAAGCGTTGACCTCCAAAAAAAAGTGAAAAAGTAATGTTCTATTGGAATACAATAGTTTTTTGTTTTTAAAATTTGAATAGAAAGGGTGTTGTATTCGAATAGAACGCGCACGTTATCTGCTCGAAGTGCTATTCTTATTTGAGAAAAGTGGACACACCCCGTTTCAATTTCAAAATGTTCAAAACTCAAGGACTGCGGTCTCCTCAGCCTCGCACGTCGTTTCCATTTTGAAATGTCAAACTACCACCAGTCCCCCTGACGTCAGAAACCTCGGGGGTACCGGTAGCGTTGTTCCAGGACAGGTACCAGTAGTACAGAGTGGAAAACCGGGCGGGCCTCAAAAATGGAATTTGTGGCAAAAATTGAAAATGCACCAAATCGGCGTGGTGAATATTTCGCGGTCAAAATGATTTTTTTAATTTTTTTCTGATATCTTTCCTTGAAAGATCACGACCTAATCTATGGACCCTTAAATTTTCAGACATTTTGATGAATTATTCTGAGCACGAAAAATCGGCAAAGTTGCCGCTTGAAAATGGCGGGATTGGGCCCGCTGGCGACGAACGGTCGCCGCCCCTCCGTACAAACCGGCCCTAACTCATAGGGACTGGGGTTTTCGGCGGTGGGGGGACCGCAGCCTCCTCGGCCTCCTACGGGCAGCTACCAGTCCTCCGCATGCCCTGCCCCTTGCGAAGCCCTCACTTCAAAATTGCCCGCCGTCCCGAACTACCACGTTGCAAGTTGAATTGACTTTTGAAGGTCTCGAGGGCATAAAACGCAACCCTGACGTGCTGTGAACTGGTGGTGTAAGTCGATATAATTGATTGATGTTCGCAGCCCGTCAGGGTTGCGTTTTCCCCCCCTGAGACATTTTCGTCGTCGTTCGTTATACCGGTCGTTCATTCGGGCCCATTGGTCGTTCAAAGGATGGTAAAATGGAAGGCACTGGCATTTTGGGGGGGGGGGCGCAGTTCAAGCAAATGCAGGACCAGTATTTGCCCGTGGCATTTTCCTGGGAACCGGGAGGTGGCCGTGGTCTAAAATATTTTGAAACGGCGTGGGGGCCGCAGGTCCTTGAAATTCAAATATGAAACGGGGTGGACCCAGGCCTACAGCCTCATGCCCAGCCCACCCACTTGGGCCCAATCGGCCTAGTCACTGTTCTGGATGTTCTGGATGATTTTGTCTGAATCTGGAAGCAGTTCTGAGCCAGATTCAGAAACAGAGATGTTCTCTCTCTCTCTCTCTCACACACACACACACACACACACACACACACACACACACATACACACACAGGGCCTCGCCACAGCCGAAACGAAACAAACTGCGGGCTGCGCACCAGTGCCCTCGCACCGTAAGTCAATTCTTTGAATGGGCTTGTCATGCCATGCCCACCAATCTTCTACCGCAAATACCGCACTGTCATTATGACTGGGCTGGTCACCCGTCTTTATCCGAACAAAACGCACGGTCATTCTGTGTCCAGACCGCAACTCGACCCAACGACAGCTACCGTGACCGTGGGTTCTATTTGAGTGAAGACGGGCGTAAGCCAGGTTCTACCACCCAGCCTTGGAAGCCCCGCTCCAACCTCTTGGCGTCCCATTGGGCGTCCTTACTGTCCCTTGCCCATGTGGACATGACTTTCGCATTATCCAGCGTGACCACTTACGGATAATTCAACGTCCCGAATTTCCTTTCGTGCATTTTAAAATTTGAATTCCTCCACCCGCTATTCCTTCAGTACGTTTAAATTATTTTTCGCGCTCGATTCCCCCGTTATCATTTCAATTACCTTCCCGCCCAATCTTGTATTGCGATGCCCTTCCCGCGCTGTTTACCTTCTGGGTTGGCCTGCTACTCCCGCCTCCCGGCGCATTTCAATCGACGTGTGTACTTGCCGCGCAGAACACGATGCGCCGCCCAGTGCAGATCCCCTGCCCACGCTTTGGTCTGCCTAAGGCGAGGCTACGAAAAGCAATGTTTTCGGAAGGGACCACGCCTTTCGCTCTTCCCGATTAACGACGGAGATGGAGAAGGTCGATGCCCTTCACGGGTGCTTAGGTGGGCAGTTAAGGATGGCGCTCGTCATCATACGGAGGTGAAGTGGAACCTAGCACAGCTGCCACGGGAGCGGATTCGCCCGCTTAGGTCAATTCAGACGTGTCCTGGTGTATGTAGGAAATGGCACACAGTCGGTCAACGGCTGAGCTGATCTTTCTGTGGTCTCTAAAACGCAACATGTCTGAAACCAT